GGAACTCCAGGTGGCTTGAGACTGGGGAAGGGGAACCCTGTGGTCTCAAGCCTGGACTCCCCACCCCTGGCCAGGATCTGATTGGAGAGTTGGACAAGTCTCTGAGGCTGCAGGGGAGGGAATGGGTCTCTTATTAAACCCTTCACACAGTTTCCCAACCCCAGCCTTCTGCTTCAAACTCACAGCCTTCCAGAATCTTCCAGCCTCATGCCCCAGCTCTTTAGGGCTTCAGATCAGTGGGTTTTAAACCTGTACGTTCAACGTTGTGTGTGTGTGTGTGGAGTGTGTGTGTGGGGGGGGGGATGGCGCATAGTGGCTTGTTAAAACCCGAATTGCCCAGCCTTAGCCCGCTCTCCTCCTTCCCTCCCACCCACCCCCACTCCCTGCCCCACGTTGTGTTTGGTGTGATTGTCAGCTGGAGAATCACGTTCCAGTGTGGGGTGGGGGTGCTTTGAAATCTAGGCCACAGCACACTCATCGCAGACCAACACCAGTTTCCAGGTCAGGAGGAACACATTCTGACATTTCCTCATTTTTTTCTAGTATTTGTGATCTCTCTGAAATATTATTAGTTTATAAGTATCTCCTTACTATTAAAGGTCGGGGAGATTAGATTTATGGAAGTAAATACCACCTCCCCCATCTATTAGTGTCTATCCGAACATCCTGTTAAACAGGGCCAACGTTTTTGCTTAATAACTAATGTGTATAACCTGTTGATTGGGACCAGGCTCCCCAGTGCTCTAAGAGGTAAGAAGTGAAACAGAAGGAGGGCGAATGGGGCTGTTATCAAACCCTGATTTCCACAGGCAATTTTCCACTTGAGATTATCATTTAAAATCCCTGGCTGGCTTCTCCTGTCACTCAGCAGAACCCAGACTGTGTGTGTCCCTATATGATCCAGCTGTCCGTGTGAACTGAATGCAGAATGTAAGCGTACCATCCAGCGCAGAAGCACAGACACTTAGGAACACATGTTGCTTTTTATTTTAGAAAGCATGTGTCTGGGAGAAGCCAGTCTCAAACAGCTAAATGTTGTATGGTTCCAGCTCTTTCCAGAAAATGTGGAACTATGGGAGCAGTGAGAAATTTGTGGTCACAGGCGGGGGTGGGGGTTTGGGGGGGGGGGGAGTGGGGCTGGTGGTGGTGGTGGTGTTGGAGACAAGAAAGGAATGGATAGGCAGAACAAGACTTTTAGGGCCAGCCATGAACTGCTCCGTGTGATGCCATGGTGCATGGGTGCATGTAATCTCACATTCCTCACAACCCACAGGTTATCTTCAGGGCCATCAAGAGAACCGTGGGCCTCGGGAGAGAGTGTGTCAATGTGTCAGGCAAGTCATTTGTGAGTGGCGCACCACTGTCTTGGGGAAGATGGCAGGAGTTAGAGACACAACGCCTATACAGCTGCTTGGAAAGAAAGCTCAAGAAACCTGTACAGGTCTCACTAGAGATTTAGCTTGGAGGTAAAGTACTTTCCTAGCATGTACAAACCCATGAGTTCAACACTCAGCACTAAATAAATAAATAAATAAAGGAAACAATTACAGGTAGATTTAAAAAAAAAAAAGCATAACTGGAGGGGGAGAAGAAATCAAACCAAGCTATTCTAAAACAGACAGAGTGGTAATATTAGACACCTGGGGATTGGTGGCTCTGGGGAGAATCCATCATTGCTTTGGAGAGGCTTCAGTAGTTGGGAGTACAACAGAGTTTAGTGCTTGGGAATGGACAGCCAAATGGGGCAATGGGAAGACAACCCACTCCCAAGAAAATGTTCTCTGGAGGTCCCAGTCTGATGCTGCTCTTCTGAGTGTGCATCTTTGACTAAACTCTCCAGCCTCACTGAGCCTGAACAAGCAATCATTTCCACTGTTTTATTTTTTTTATATAGTGAAAACGAAATTTACATTAAAACAACATGCATTATGGAGTAGGGTTTTTAAATGTTTGTGAATTTCATTTAAAGGCGCTTTTGAAGAAGTTTCATAGACTTGTGGGTGGCCTTGTGGGAGCTGGCCTTCCCACTGCTTGTGGTTAAAGGATTTTCTGGGGACGCTGAGAAGCTTGGATTTGGATTGTCTCAGGAGTCCCCTGCCTGTTCCTGTGCAGCTACGGTGAAAAAGTTTCTCCTTTTCCTTTGTAATTATAGTTTGGGAAAAAAATAGCATCTGCCAGGCTTAAGTGGAAGAATTTGCTTCTTTTTCTTTTTAATTGTGGCTTTGAAAATAAAGCAATAAAATGTACCTGTTTTAAATGTCTAGTTCAGTCATGCTAAGTGTGTTTGCTTTGTTAGGAAGCTGATCCCCCAGAACACATTCATCTTATAAAACTGAAAAGCTATAACCATGAAGAACAACCTCACCCCCACCCTTACCCTGACTAAGCCTTTGGAAAGACTCATTCTACTCCTTGCTCCTATGAATTCTTCATGTAAGATACTTCACGTACGTGGAATCATACAATATTTGTCTCTCCTTGACTGGCTTATTTCACTTAGCATAATGTCCTAAAGACTAAAGCTGAATACTTTTCCAGTATATGTAGACATAATTTATGGGCATTTGGGCTGTTTCTACCTCTTGACTACTGGGAATAATAAAAATTTGTTTACTCTTATTATTTTTGTGATCCTGGGGATCAAGTCCAAGGCCTTGTACATATTAGGTAATCTGCCACACCATGAACCCAAGAACTTACATTTTTAAATGATTGAAAACAAAAATTTTAAAGGGTAACATTTTGTTACATGTACACATTACATAAAATTCAATTTCAGCATCCTTAAAGTTTTATTGGGACATAGATATGCTTATTCACTTATATACTGTCTAACATTGTGTTTGTTCTACAATGGAATGGATTAAAAGGAGTGACAGAGACTATATGGTCTATACAATTGAAAATATTTCCCTTTTGGTTCTTTACAGGAAACATTTGCCTACCACTGACTTAGCCAACAAAATCATGTATCCTTTTTGATTGTTCAATTAAAGAACAAACGCTTTCTGTTTCATCTTGGTTTGCTTTAGTTTTGCCTTTTGAATTTTGTGACAGGGTCTGGTTACACAGCTCAGGCTTACCTCAGATTACTGGTCCTCCAGCATATACCACCTTGCTGACAATGGCTTGACTTTTAAACCACTTTCTTCCTTGTTCTGAAGAAGGCCTTTATGTGTCATGTCAGATGAAAATCTCAGCATCCTTAACAACCTTCACGTCCAATAATTTCACCTTCAGAGTAAACTGAGCCTCATTTAGTTATTCTTACTTGGTCTTCTGAAGAGGTGAACAACCACTGGTTGTTCCAGTCACAGCCCTGAGATGCTCCTTCAAGACTCAATTCAAGTCTCTGAACAGACCTGAGCCTCATTCCTGATGGTTTCACATCATAGCTGCTTGCTCAGGGCCTCACCCCTGGGAGGCTGATGTCAAACCCAGGAATCTGTATTTTTTCAAAGCTCCACCCATACCACCTTTGTCCTTGAAAAGCACATGTAAATGCCTTGTCCATCCCTTACTCACTTCACATCTGGCCTCCTCCAAGCAGCCTTCCAAGATCAACCAGATAAACCACCTAGACCATCTCTCCTTACCCATATACACTACTGTATTTGAACTTGGTGGGGACCCATTGAACAATTTGTTCCTATGAGTCAAATTCTTTAATTAAATGATTTGTCTCTGCCCTGTGCGCGTCAGATTCTTGGAGAGAGAAATGTGACCTTTGTGCTCTTGTAAATACTATCCATCACATCTGGGAAATTGCTAGAAAGGCTTCTGTTCACACTCTGCTATCAATCATACTGTGTGATGCAGCTGGGTTCTACCAGCCACTCTGATTCATGGGATATGTGTAGCAATTGTTGGCCTTTCACAGTCAGATTGCCTGTAATGGCTCCAACTTCATTATATGTCTCCCCGGCTGTGCACACCCAAACAAAGAAAAAGTAGAGCCTGAAGTGGTGGCATGCACCTGCAATGCCAGGACCCAGGATGCCAAGGCAGGTGGATCATGAGTTTTAGGTCAGCTTTGGCTATAGAGCCAGATCGAGTTTCAATAAATAAATAAATGAAAAACTAACAACACAAGTATAGCAAACACAAGACTACAAGACCCACATTTGCCTGGAATCACGTGGCATGATCAACTTGGAAATAATATTTCAATGATATCTTTCTGCGTGTAACAGAACAATTTCTTGTTAGCTAATATGATGCTTTGGCTTCCAGTTTCAGCCCATTTCAACAGAAATACCCAAGGATAAATCCTTCAATTGAGTGCATCTGAGAGATAAATTGTTCACTTGATGAGTTATGGCTTTGAGTTGATTGAATGAATCACTCTCTTATGAATCCTCCATCTATAACCTTAACACCTACTCAAAAAGTGATAATTTTTGTTTTGTTTTGTTTTTTTGAGACAGGGTTTCTCTGTGGCTTTGGAAGCTGTCCTGGCTCTTGCTCTTGTAGACCAGGCTGGTCTCAAACTCACAGGCATCCACCTGCCTCGGCCTCCCCAGTGCTGGGATTAAAGGCATGTGCTACCACCACCTGGCTGGTAATTTAAAGTTTTATTTATTTGCTGTGTATTTGTGCACATGCATGCATATGTATAGTTCAGACAACAACATTTTAAGAGTCAGTTCTCTGCTTCTAGCTCATTTTGAGTCAGGGTCTCTCTTGTTTCTGCCACTGTTCTGTGTACTCTAGGCTTGAGAGCCCATGAGACACTGTTGGCTGATTCCCCTGTCTCTGCTTTCCGTCTTACCATAGGAGTGTCTGGATTACAGATGAGTGTGCCATGGTATTCAGCTTTTTACATGAGTTCCATGAACTCAGGTCATTGGACTTACATAGCAAACACTTTTACCCACTGAGCAACCTCAGTGAGCCATTGCCCTGGCCATGCTAATTGTGTTGTTAAATGAACCTGCAGTCCATAAAAATAGGAATGACACACGATGAAGTTTTACAGTGGTATGGTACAGATGAGAACAGTCATCAGAGGAGAACAACTAATGGGGGAATTACAACTAATGTCAAATATTTACATAGATTAAAATTGACTAGGACTCTGTAGTCTCCGACCTCCCCCAAATCCACATCTGTACCATTAGAAAGAAGGAAGAAAAGGCAAGTAGTGACAGAGTATCACAACTCCCTGAATTGTGAGTCACTGCCATCATTTCCAGAACAACACAATAAAGAACCTGCCCAGACTAGTCAAAATCACCTCCTACATGACATAAGTTCGGTAAGCCCAAAAGAGCACAAAAGGGCTCAGCACTCAGCCATGCCTTGAATACCTGTGCTAACAGCTGGTTTGGATTTTAGATGTGTAAGTCAAGAAAATGGAGGGCTCTCTCTCTCTCTCTCTCTCTCTCTCTCTCTCTCTCTCTCTCATCCTAGAAGGTGTTGGACCAGGTTTGACAGGAAACTGCAGTCTTCCCCCGCCAGCTGTCTCTGTCTCTGTCTCTCTCTCTCTCTCTATGTCTCTGTCTTTCCTTCCCTCATTCTCCAACTACCAGCAGCTCAGGAAATGCCATGGAAAGCAAGATGCCACACTGTGGGCTCAAGGCAAAGGTGGGGGAAAGTTACAGTGTGAAGTTTCAAGATCAACCCGTTAATGCTAGAAAAGGCTAAGGGATTAGATGTTTGGTGTTGTGTCCCATTTGAAAGAGGCCTGATACTCAAACGACAGACATTATTTAGAATGACGCAGGAAAGTCTCAGGACCACCAGGACTGGCAGGGGGAACTCCAGATGAGGGTGTTCTGAACACAGAGTAACTCCATAACACAAGCACAGCGATGGAGTCCTAGTCCTCAACAGCCTGCTTGGACTGGTTCAATTATCTTTGGAGGCAGGAGCCAAGAGAGAAACTTCAAGGAAAGAAGCCATTAGCTGAGAGACTGGGTAGGGAGCCAGCAGAGAGATAAAGGGAGAGCATTATCTTTACATTGGCAACGTAGAACCTGTGACTTGGGACTAACGAGAGAAGCGGTATTGGAGAAGGCTCAGAATGATGCCTAGTGTTTGGATCCCTGAAACCAATGTAAAAGCTGGGCAGGCATGGAAGCTTACCCGCCAGCAGGAGGTAGAAATAGAATCTCTGGAGCTAGCTGGCTAGCAAGACTAGCTAAAAAGGCAAGCTCCCTGTTCAACGAGGGACCGTACCTTAATATATAAGGTGGGAAGAGGTTGAGAAAAATATCTGGTGTTAGTTTGGGCCTGTACACATTCATACACAAATGCACCTGCACAGGTGTACATACACATGCATACACACGCGTGCGAACACACACACACACACACACACACACACACACACACACTTGAAAAGAAAAACCTCTGAAGACTATTAGGGAGAGGCAGCTATTCAGTTTCCCCTGGAGCATATGTTGGCTAAGCTATGTCATAATGGTGTCTCAAGGCCTCCTATGTACCTGGGACATAGTTGAAGATTCATATCCCAAGGTAGAGATATGAGAAAGGTCATCTTGCAGGCTGCCTAACTGGGGTTTACAGGTAAGGATGCTGGCTGATACCATGCTATTGGATTACCTTAAATTAACTGACTTCATAAGCCACTGTTAGGGATCTGGAGACAGGAAATTGCAGGGAGTGAGTAAAAATATGAGTGAATGTGTATTGTTTGGCATGGGCATGCCCATGTCCAGGATCCCAATGCCTTAGACTCACAAAAAAATGGCAAGGTCTTCCCTGGGTTTGGCTCAGGGAAATGACAAAACCTACCCCTGGTCAATGTGCAGATATTAATAGCGTGTACAGACAATGTCTTCCATGGTGCCCCCCACACACACACACCATATTTATGGCCTGAAGACTGCTTCCCTGCAGCGGCTACCCCTACTGAGACCATCTAACTCTGCCTCTTCATGCAGCTGTCTCCAGTAAGCATGCCTCCCCCTTCAGGTGTGCAGAGGGAGCGGCTGAGCTCCTGTCTTGCTGCAGCTTTTCCATCTGAGAACTCAGACCACCCAATCCTTTGCTGTGTTTGTGTGCCTGTCATTTCTTCATTCTCCTACTGCTCTTAGTCAGGGTTCCAGGACCCAAAGAGTGGCAGGAGATGCTGGGGGGGGGGAGGGGAATAATGGCATGTCCTCTTAGAAAATGTCGGTGAATGGTCTTAGAGGATGAGACTAAACAAAATGACATTCCTGGTCCTTCCTTGGATAAACACCATGGTACTCAAGGAGCAAAGGCATGATTACTGGGGACTCTGCGTGGTACCCACACTCTAAATACTTCATGCAATAGATGAACTACATTGATAACTCGCTTTGCTTCAATCAAGGAGCAAAAATAAGAGTTTTGAATTAAAGTTTACACAGTTACTGAATAAGGGGGTTGGAATTAAAACTCAGGGGTTTTGTTTCTTTACCTAAATCTAAATCTTTTTTTTCCATTTTTGTACCACATTATAACTGAGGACATAAACAAACAAACAAATCAAGTCCAGGAAGAGAACCTGCAAACCCAGGGCTCTGATTCCAGCACTAACTTCTATCATCTTTCTTGGGTTCAGCCCCTTTACCTATAAAAGGAAAATGCACATGCTCCACAGGCTATGCCATACTGGATGCTAAGTCTTCGTTACCAAAGCTCCATTGGCCAAAGCCAAAGCTCCAACTCCAATTTCAGTTCTGGCTCACGTTCAGGTCCCCAAAGATGCCCAGGCCCAGTGAAGGCTCCATTGTAAGGGCCTCTGACCCCCATCATGAGGATCTGATGGGGGAAGTACTTCTGTGTATGTTTATCTTATTGATTGTTGAATAAAGTTCTGTTTGGCCAATGAAACAACAAGTTAGACAGGACTAGGAGTCAAAGAGGATTCTGGGAAATGTAGTAGAGAAGTGGTGATCCAGGCCGGAAGTGACATAGCAAGGAGACTCATATTTAAGCAAGGAGAAACAGGAAGTGTCCCCTTTCCCCTTCGCCTCCTCCTCCAGCGGCAGGATGTGAGCCACCGGCAAGAGAGGGCACCAGTGAAACGCATCCTCTATAAGATAAGTCTTATAAATATATAGATTTATGATAATTAAAACTGAGCCAACAGATGAGAAATCCTAGTCATTGGCCAAGCAGCATTTGAACCTAATATAAGTTTCTGTGTATTAATTGGGGCCCTAACTCGGGCAGGCAGCTGGTGTAAGCACACACGTGGTGGTGGGGCTCGGCGGCTTTTGGCGGAAAGATTTATCATAACAAGGATCAGATTGATGTGATCCCCTAGCTGCTGTCTGTGGGGCTGGTGTTCTCCCACGCTGTTGGTACAAATGATGTTGGGAGGGAGCGAAGTTCTCCCAGGTCTGAAATTTTGTGCCTTTAGCATGGAACCACCTATGAGGAAACCTTGAAGTGTAGGAGATGTTACCAGAAAGATGCTGAGGACAAGTGAGCCCCTCTCCATGTAGAATGCCACATCCTGTCACTCCTGGCCTAGTCTATACCTTCCCCTTGACACATTATATCCCACACAGTACCTGGCACACAACAGCTGTTCACTGACCAAAAGTAGAATAAATGTGACTAAAAGAAGCTAGTCACATGGGACTAGTAGAGTTTGGGACCTGGCAACTCAGTGACTCAAGAGGAGGGACTATTG